CATTCTGCAAAACAACCGTTTCGATCGAGACATCCGCAACAAATGTAAATGTCGACTTCACCCTGTGTTTCATCGATCGATCGCACTCTCAAACACCAGCGTTTCGCTCGGGGCATCCTCAGAATATCATCCGCCAGCCCGGGCCATCTTCGACTTTGCTATCTGCCGCAGAGAAATCCGGCGACCCTGCGCGACCTTGGCACCAGGAGCAGGCTACCCTACTACAAGAGCACCCTGGGCCCGCGCCCTGTCCAGGAAAAAACGTCCAGCGCGGTTGGTTCCTGTTCCTCTCTCCTCCCCCCTCCTCCTCCTCCTCCCTCCCCCTCCTCTCCTCCTCCTCTCCTCCTCCTCCTCCTCCTTTTCCCCCCTCCTCTCCTCCTCCTCCTCCTCCTCCTCCTCCTCCTCCTCCTCCTCCTCCTCCCTCCTCCTCCTCCTCCTCCTCCTCCTCCTCCTCCTCCTCCTCCTCCTCCCCCTCCTCCCCCACGCTGACCGCCCGGCGCGAGGCGCCCCCCGAGGCGCCTCTTCGCGCCGCCGGGGCCTGCCTCTCGGGCGCCGCCCTCCTCTCGATCCCGGCGAGGAAGGCCCACGGGTCCCAGATCTCCTGGGCCAGCGCGCGCGTCGGGGGCCCCACGCTGCCTGCCTGCTGCCCCTCTCCCCCGCACCAGGGCACACCGTCAGTCAGTGTGGTCAGGACGCGCGCGATGAGGACGCAAGGGCCTGGGACGCCCCCTTCGATGAAGGGGCCCTGGGACACATAAATAAATACACACAAATAAAAATATTCTCCATATTTTCACATATTTTCTGAGTTTCTGTCTTCCCCCCCACTGCCCATATTTTCCAATATTTTCTGGGGAATCGAAGATTAATTGTGTCTGTGTGTTTTTTCCCCTCCTGATTCGAAGCCAGTCGAGCGGGGCGCGGCCAGCGGAAGCGGCGAAGGATGGACCCAGGGAGGCAGGGATGCAAAGAGCGCCCCCTTGGCAAGGTTGCCCAGCCTTCCTGTGCAGGTCAACTGTGGGAAGGTGATCGATCGGCCGGCGCGCCCCGGGGAGCAGAGCCAGAAGTGAGCATCCGGCGCGCGGCGCCCACGACCGCCACCGACCGCCGCCAAGTGCAGGCACGCCTCCGCCCCAGGAAGGAGCAGCATCGGCCGCTGCCTGCTCCTCCTCCTTCTCCTCCTCCTCCTCCTTCTCCTCCTCCTCCTCCTCGAATCCCACACCGGCCCGCCCTTGAGCCGCGCAGGGCGCACCAAGAGTTTGCGTGCTGTTGCAGCACATGCGTGCGAACGCCGGCCCAGACTTCGCTGGAAGCGACAGCGACGGCGACGGTCCGATCGAACGCCCAAGGCCGGTTCGCCCTGCTTGCAGGAACGGCGTGCTTCATGCAGAAAGAAGAACACACGCAACGGAAAAATGCAACTAGTGATCACACCCCTCGCGCATTGCTACACACAGGCTCGCATGTATGATCACTCAACCAGAAATGTTTCGCCAAGGGTCGCGGGTCAAAATAACAGATTATTTCTCGTCAGACCATCAGCGCGCCAACCAAAGCGAAGTTGAGCAACGTCGTAATTGATTCGAAGGAAGCCCCTTCCCTTCGATCCCTCTCCTCTCTGGGGGGGAGGGGGGGGTCCCCGGGGGAGGTCCCGGGGAGGGGTCCAGGGGGGGGGTCCCTGGGGAGGTCCCGGGCTGGGGGAGGGTCCCGGGAGGGGTCCCGGGGTGGGTCCCCGGGGGGGGGTCAGATACGACGCCCCTCCCGGGAGTCCCAGAGCCCAAAAAAGCCCCAAGACGGGCCAAGAGCGCCCCAAGAGGCCCCAAAGACAGTCCAAGAGAACCCCGAATCGCCGAATGATCTGTCCAAGACGCCTTGACGGCCTCCAGACAGCCCAAGAGGCCTGCAAAGCGCCCCAAGAGGCCTCCAGGAGCTTTCCCACGAGAGCCCCGAGAGGCAAAATTCATGGATTTCCCATAAGTGTTTGAAAGATTTTGGCGTTCCTGCCTCTTCCGCTTCCCGCCAAGAGGCCCCCAAGGTGGCCCCAAGACAGCCCAGGAGAGCCCCAAATTGCCCAGGAGGCCTCCACATGTGCCTCGAGACGGCGCAAGAGGAGCCGTGGACGGCCCAAGACTGCCTCAAGAGAGCTCCAGGCTGTCCCAAGAAAGCCGCTGGCCTCCTCCTCTTCTTCTTCCTCCTCCTCCTCCTTCTCCTCCTTCTCCTCCCCTCCTCCTGATCCCCTCTGCCTCCATATCCTCCTCTTGTTTCTCCTCCACATCCTTCTCCCTCCTCTTCCTCCCTCATCCACCTCCTCCACCCTTGCCCACCCTTCCTCCACCTCCCACTCATCCTCCTCCCCATGCCCCCCCTCGTTTTCATCTTCGTCGTTCTCAAGGTCAGCGGCACTGGCCGTAAGGCCATCGCAACAACATGATACTTCTGGTCAGACCATGTTAGAATACTGGTCAAGTTTATAACCTCCGGTCAAAACATGATCGGCCCATGAACCCAGAAAGGAAGTTAAAACTGCGATGCATAGGAACGTCTCCAAACACCTCAATTGGGCGATGAGCAATGGCAATGCTGAAGATATCAATGGTGATGGCGTTATGCTAAGGCTGTGTTGTGCTGCTCTGCGTTGTGCTTCGCGAAATACGCGCCAGTGAGTGTACTAGTGGAAGTGCCATGGGACGCGACAGGGGACATGCCGCGTCGAACTGTGCAGTGCGCTGTTGCATGGTGGGTCAAGCCGCCTTTGGCGTCTGAATCCTGACCGAACTGATGTGGATCGTAAGCTCGAGCTGTCTGAACGGTTAACTCGGGCGAGTTGCAATAGAAACGCGCGGGGCGCTCGACAAGCTCGAGCTCCAAATCCGATTCAGTTCCGAAGCGCTCGCTCGAGACACCCTCACAAGTTGTTCAGACATAGAACCATCTGACCACACCCTGTGTTGCCTGGACACGTGAAGACGTGGTTCCAGCTCGGACCCCGCATGACGTAACCCCGCTGAGCCTTCTCCAACAAGTCCCACCAACCTTTTTGGGCGTAGGTGTCTTGACCGTGTTGCCCGTCTTTCGCTCTCTCGCTCTCTCTCTCTCTCTCTTTTTCTCTCTCCCTCTCTCTCTCTCTCTCGTTTTCTCTCTCTCTCTCTCTCTCTGTCTCTCTGCCAAAACCATCCTTCCCCTGCTCGGGGGAGGGGTTGACCCCTCCCCCATACCCCCTCCCCTGGGCCCGGGAGAAGGGGGCGACGGAGGTGCATCCAAAATGGCCCAAGAAGGCTCCAAAAGGGTCCCTCACCTCAAGATGGCTCAAGACAGCCCCCAACATACACCCACAAGGCCTCAAGACGGCCCTAAGACAGGTTCAAGTGCCCTTCCGAACTGTCGAAGGACTCTCCCCCATGAGGCCACAATGGCTCTGAACCCGAAGGAACATCCATGCGGCGTGCCTTCTCGCCTTTTCGCTTCCGATGGGCTCTTGAGGCCTTACGATGGCCCCAAGGCGGCGCCCAAGAGAGCCCCGAGAGAGCCCCGAGAGGGCCCCAAGAGGGCCCCAAAAAGGCCCCAAGAGCGCCCCGGGGCGGCCCCAATATGCAACGCTTGAGCCTCCGATGGGGGGGGGCTGAATTGAGGATCCCCTATATTTTTAAACAATGTGCCCCAGATTGCCTCAAGTGGCCTCCGAGACCCCCCAAAAAAACCCAACAGGGCCCCTAGGCCCTCCAAAAAAAAACCAGGAGGGCCCCCAGATTGCCCCAAGTGGTTCCGCGAGGACCCCAAGAGAGACCCAAGATGGCTCCACGAGACCTCCGAGAAAACAAATCCCACGCGGCTGATACACTGCATGCTTCTACACAGCCCTGATCAAGGCAACTCGCTTGGCGATCTGTGTCAGGATGGGCTGGTGGGAATACTTTGTTGATCGCAAGCGCACCGGGAGACTCTGGACGCCGTCAAAATTTGCAGCAAGCGGGCTACGAGCAAATTGCGCACCAGTAAAAGGGAGGCAGCGAGAGGACAGCGGAGGGAGGAACAAACAGGAGGCGGGCCTCGCTGCCGCTCAGAAGAGGGCGCCGTCGACTGGGGGGCAGCCGCCAGGCGGAGTGCATCGCCAAAATGGCAAAGAATTCTGGTTGAACGAACCGCGAGCGTACTGAAAGACAGGGACCACCGTCTCGTATACGCACCACGAGATCCAGGCGACAGGACCAACGGTCGCTCCGTCGCAGGGTGGCGGTCGAGCATTTGTTTTTTGATGTGGGAGACTTTGAAGCGTGTCCCTGCTCCTTGGCAAACAAAATGCCAGAAAAATCGCGCGCGCTAAGAAGAAGGGTCGGCACCCGTGCGCCGGCCGTGAACAACATTTGAAAAGGATCCCTCGATCCCTGCGAAGGATAACGGCTTGCACGCACGGAAGCCATGGGAACAAAAGACGGCACAGTGGTATCACTCCGAATTGTCTGCCAGGGAAAAGCAGCGCAGAGGGAGTGGACATTATCATCGCGCTGTTGAAACCGTTGGCAGCTCTGCTCTGCTGTGTCAGGGCTAGGCTTATTACCACAGTGCGCAAGAACTCCATGAACATCCATACCAGCACTGACACCACGAGGATGGGCAACGCTGGAATCGGCTACAGTGTGAATACGAAAAGCTAGCGGGGGCCGTCAAGCGTCTTCGGTAAACATTCATCTCGCGTGCAAATCCTACAGACAAAGAATCATCAAAATAAGACAAGCTCGGTCTTGCAAGGCGATCAGCCCGTCCGAAGAGGAGTGCGAGACGCTCCTAGTCAAATCCTCGTGCGAAGCAAGCGCGCAGCATAGCACCGCAGCACGCACTCGTCTACGGCAGCTGGGAGAGAGGGAGATGAGAGAGAGAGAGAGAGAACGAGAGGGAAAGAAAGACAGAGAGATTGAGAGAGAGACAGAGAGAGAGAGAGAGAGAGAGAGAGCGCTCAGAAGAGGTGCACACCCTTGTGAGAAGAAGACGCTGCCAGGCCACTCTCAGACCTGGCCGCGCAGCGCGCATGCCGCGGCCGCGGCCGCGGCGGGGAACGGCAGCAGGGAGAGCTGGCACGACACCGCCCCGTCGAGAATCCCGGTGCCCCACCACGGCGACGGAGGGGGAGGAGCCGGAGTGGACGGCAGAGTCGGCGGACGGTACGCGGGGCAGACGCAGCACATGGTCATGGAGTCGAAACGGCCGACGTCAAACGCACCGCAGTAGCACTGTGGAAAGACCGAATAAGACTCGCAGCCATCGCCATACGCGTCGACCTCACCAAAGTCCGTGTCGACGCAGTCGGGCACAGGAGTGGGAGCTGGAGCTGGGGTAGGAGCTGGCGTCTGCGGCTCGTGGTCGACGCCACCACCGCACCCGCAGCACATGCTCGCAGAGGTGAAATCGCTGTCATCATACTTGCCGCGCCAAGCTGGACTGGGAGGGTACACCTCACAGCTGTCCCCGAACTCATCCCTGCTATTCGAGTTGGTGCTGAAGCAGGCCCCTTCTTCATCGATCGGATTCGTCAGCGTGACGCTCCAGACTCTCGAAAGCCACACATCGTTGTCCCTGAAACTCAAAGCCAGATCAGATCTGGTTGAAGCAAGGTTGTTGACCAGGTTCGCAGCGATGGGAAGGTGCACATCTGACCAGAGCTGTGCACCTGCCAAGTCCGAACTATCATCCAGGCGGCGCTGGTACGACGGGTCCCAAGATGATGCAGTTCCAGATGAATAAGGAGACTTCACGGCTGAAGGAATCACCTTGTTCACCCCTACGCTGTGCTTGTCAGCGGCCCACGCGGCGAGAGCCGACGTGCTGCAGTCGACGGTTATCTCCAGCACGTCCACCACGTACATGTCCGGCGTCGTGGTGTCCGTACGGGTGCGGGCGACGCTCGTGGTGGTGACCGCGGGCGTCACCGAGCAGACGTCGGCCGACAACCGCCGCTGCTTGCGGTCGTGGCACGCGCCATCGTCGCAGTACTGGCCGACGGCGCACTCAGTGTGGTGGGGGCTGCTGGCCGCGTCGCACTGGCAGGGCATGCGGATCTTCGAGGTCCCGCTCGGGCTGCAGGGGCAGACGACCTGCCCGCGGCGGTGGCAGGGCAAAATGTAGCTGCTGTACCCCTGCTTCATGTCCCACAAGCTGTACGACACCTCCGACGGATAGAGCCAGCAGCTGCCGGTGACCTCGGCGAAGACGAACGCGTGGCACCCAGGGCCCGCAACGCATGCCTTGCAGCAGAGCGCGAGGGTGAGCCCGCTGTCCACGCTGCGCTCGCGTGCCGCCACGCCCGGCTCAAGCAGGTCGGCGCCGTGGTGGACGTCGGCGTCGAGGAAGTCGGCGCCGGCGGCCCGTGCGTGGCAGATGAAAGGCGTCGCAGCCTGGCACAACGGCCAAATCGTCCACGAAATGGCGCATGGCCCACAGCTCGCAGAAACCCGTAACGGCGTTGACTGTGGAACTGTGACACGACTCCGCGCTCAAACGCTGCATGCTGCGATCGTCTAGTGATTTCCCCTCCTTCCAAAGCGCAAAGGCCAAGCGTACCACGGCCAGGACTGAAGGCAAACACTACAACGGGCGAGCGCCAACAAATGCAAGCAAGGCGGCGGACAGCTAGCCGGGCCAGAACCGAGGCCGAGCGCGGGCGGCGAACGAACAGCGGGAGCCGAGGCCGAGCGCGGCGGGTGGTGGAAATATTTGTTTTTTGTCGGCGGCTCCCAGGCGACGGACAGGGAGCGGAAGCGGCGTCGGGGGCACGGAACGGGGCGAATTGGCAAGACAATTGCCGCCAGAGTCGGCGGACAAAGCTCGCACCTGCCAGACTAATGCGCAGTTGCACGTGCACAGAACAAAATGAATTGAATTCGCAGAGAAAACGCACTAAGGCAAAGCAACCCGAACCGAAGTGGGAAGGCCGCCGAGAAAAAAATATGCGCATGCAAAGAGATGAGTCGCCAGGGCGGCGCCAGACTCCTTCCGGGCCTGCGCAAGCCGAGCGGCTGTGCGGCCGTAGCCAGAAACAGTGTGTTAAGGGAGAAAAAAGTGGTGGGACAATCTCTTTTCGGTTGCGGCCGCGCGACAACGGCCTGGCGGCGAAAGCAGTGTCCGGGGCAGCGGCACAGCGCGAATTAACCCAGCCGCCAGGTTGGCTAGCCGGTACGCACCTGCAAAACAGGTTCGCCTATGCACATGCACAGAACAAAATGAGCTAATTCAAAGCAGCGGGGCGAGTCGCTCGGCGCCAGACTCCGAGCCAAACCGGGCTAGTAACGGGCAAAGCAGGGAATACAAGGCAGGCGGCCCCCGGACGGCTGAACCGCTCGAGGCGCTGACCTCGCAATCCGCACCCAGCCGCAGTGGCCCACGGTGGCCCGAAGCACACCAAGCCTGGCAACATGACGGGGGTAACCGGCTAACTGCCGAACCGGCGCGGGAAGTACCCCAACCTGCACGGGGGAGCTGGACACTCGGAACCGCTCAGATCACGCAGTGTGCTGAAAGGTGCCGGCGACGACCCGAAGCGCGGATGTCGCTGAGTCCAGTCGCGGATTCCGACGGCGGGCACCACTGCCAACACTCGGAAGGGCCAGCGCTGTGTGCCGGGGCCCCGCAAAGCACCTGACTGGAGAGGGGGGCGCAGCTGACCGCCGCAAGAAACTATGCATCACACGCTCTTCGCGCCGTGTTCACCTGCGCGGTGAGAAGGGGGTGCAGCGGACCGCCGCGAAGCAACGCTGTTGCGATCAATCTGCACCAAACAACGCCAGGCCCTCCGAGGCGCAACTCCCTGTGCCGGCGGAGTCGGCGACGTCCAAGCGCCACTGGGCGGGCCAAAACGTGGACAGACCCAGCGGGATGAGCTGAAGGTTGCCCGGGGGGGGGTAAGGGTTGCATCGCCGTGTCCTCAAACAGAGTTTCCCAGAGCACTTACACACAGCTCGCCTTCACGGTTTCAAGGAGATTTCTTTTTATCGGCTTTCAATGGGATTCCTTTTGTATCGGTTTTCAATCGGATTCCTTTTGAGGATTACAATCGAATTCTTTTTGTTGAGGTTGCAATAGGATTCCTTCTGAGCAAGATTACAATAGGATTCCTTTTGGGGAGGATTACACTAGGATTCCTTTTGTAGTGGTTTACAATCGGATTCCTTTCGATGGGGATTACAATAGGATTCCTTTCGCGAGGGATTACAATAGGATTCCTTTTGTAGAGGATTACAATATGATTCCTTTTGTAGCGGTACGTGGGAGGAACCCAGGAGGGGGGAGGGGACAACAAAAAAAAAAATCAATGAATCCAGTAAAAATTGCAGGTGTTCAGTGACTTTCAATGGTTTTGCAAAGACAAAATATGAGAACATAGCGTTTCCAGTTCTTCCGAATTGGAAACCTATGTATATATACAAAAAAACATGTCCACCTCTCTAAAGCGAAAAACATTTAAACATACAGCGTTTTCAGCTCCAAAGGCTAGGAAATCACATGTTTTTTATATGTTTTGTTTGTTTCAGGGTGGTGGAAACGCTTTGTTTTTGCAAGTTTTTCATTCCAGGGAAGTGGAAAAAAAACGGCTGTACGTTTATATGTTTTTCGATCCGGAGAATGAGAAATGCTGTGTTTTTGTATGTTTTTTCTGTCCAAGGAAGTGAAAATGCTGCGTGTTTGGAGGTTTCCAATTCGGAAAAGCTGGAAATGATGTGTTTTCATAAATTTTCTTTGCGAACGCATTGAAAATCATTGAAAACATATTGTTTCATGGATTCACTGATTTTTAATATTTTTCCCTTCCCCCTCCTGGGTTCCTCCCAAGTACCGCTACAAAAGGAATCATATTGTAATCCTCTACAAAAGGAATCCTACTGTAATCCCTCGCGAAAGGAATCCTATTGTAATCCCCATCAACAGGAATCCGATTGTAAACCACTACGAAAGGAATCCTAATGTAATCCTCCCCGAAAGGAATCCTTTTGTAATCCTCCTCAAAAGGAATCCTATTATAATCCTGTACAAAAGGAATCCTATTGTAATCCTTGACAAAAGAAATCATGTTGTAATCCTCCTCAAAAGGAATCTGATTGTAATATTCACAACAGGAATCTTGTTGTAATCTCTCAAAAAGGATTCAAAAGTCAGTAGCCTCGAGCATTACCGTTGCACCAATGGTTTCGTGGCATCGTTCCTGGCAGCGATATTGCATCCCGACACAAAGGGCTCCAAGAAGCGAGCTTGGGCCCACCTGAAAGATGCTGCAGGATTCACCCGTTATTTGTTCCCAGAAGACTCTCGAATTCATTTGACTTTCGTTGAAGCGTTGATGCGAAATTCTACCGTGAAGCAAATGATCGCCAAGTGCCGCCAGAACGCAGACAAAACTGTCATTGGCATTGATGGGCAATGTTCTACCCTGATGCCCGTGTTGTACCAGACGCAGCATGGAGCAACAACAGGTGATGCCCATGCAAACTATGCGTGACTTTCGATCCTGGCCGTGCTGGCTCTGCGCCGACTACACGAGATTAACGCGTTAGCTTCCCGACGTAGCGAGGAAGTTCACGCGCGAATCAGAGGCCCAGAGACAGCGTTGGTTGGATCGACGTAAGGGCACGATTTGCAAAACAGGTGGCGATCGAAAACACGGGGTTCATGTCCAACTGTCGGTCCAATGCGTGGATTCCGTTTTACTGGTGCAGCCGGCGCAGTCCGAGGCGTTCAAACACGCGCAGAAGGCTCTATTTGACGCTGTTGGCGACGAGAGCGGACCGAGACAGGTGCGCATGATCTGTTCTGATCCGCCTGCTTCTCTAGAGGAAAGCGCTCTTCGAGAGTCTTTTCGGCGTCTGCAATGCATTGCCAAAGACCCGCTTCACATCGCTCTGAAAAATTGAGCAAGCATCTAACGAGAAACGGACTCGGCTATCTAACCTCATCCGCAAATGCATCGTCAAGTTCTCCAAAGGACTCGACGATGGTAGGCCGTATTTCCGCGGACAACGGCGGCAAACGGATACGCAACCCCTAGATGATGTGATTGCTTCGATGTCTGATGCCTTGGCTGCGCGGGTGCAGACGGTGATCGAGTCGGAGGGCTACTCTGAGCGGCCATACCGCACCGCCGCAGCCTTTGTCAAGGCCATGGCCGCATTGCGCAAGCTTTTCCCGAAGGAGATGACCAAGACAACCAGCAAGAAGACGACTATTCTCGGAAGATTGCGATATGCAACATCATCTAAGCAACTCGAATACCTCCTCAACCTAGGGAGGTCTATTGCCCGGAATCCTGACATGGATGTCATGTACGGGGCTACGAGGAACGAGGCGTTGCACATGCAATTGAAAGCGTTTTTCCGCAATGTGTTCATCCAAACCGAACGGAATGCGCGGGCAGCATGCTCAATCTGCACGTTCGCCAAGTTGTTGGTAGGGTGGGCCAGGAAGAGCTTGCCCTTGACTGAATCTCACCAAGAGCGCGAGGTTCTGCAGGCTGCGCTGGGCGCGCTTATTCAGAGCCCACCAAAAATCGCCCCAAAGTTAAAGGTGTCGGCGCGAGTAAATCCTCGCGTTGACTTCGGCAGCTTGCCTCGCAGTGCCAAACTATTGCGCAAGAGGCCAGCGACCGCTGTGGCTGCGCGCAACCTTCGCAAGCGACCTGCCTCCCGTGCGTCTTCCTGAGCTGATACTTGACCTGCGATTTGTGCGATTTGAAAAAAGGGCGTTACCAGCACGAGCCCAAACGCAGCGATTCAACGTGGTTTTCAAAATGTAGAAGCAATGTGGAACAAGGCATGTGGTGCAACATCTTGAAGTGTGTTTCATGTGGTGGAAGTTATATGGTGCAAGGTTTGCGTTAACGTTGGCAATTTCATTTTGTATGTTAGGACGATGTTATTGAACCACGGGGTTCAGTGTGCGTTCGCCTCAGGGGGCGCGATTTGTTCGCTCCAACGGGCGCAACGAATCGGCATCACGGCTCGTACTCCGCAGCGCGTTCGAATGCATGATCGGCGGTCGCTTTAACGGGGAAGTTGGGCAGGCAGTGACCAGCGCAGCGGTATATATATATATATATATATATATATATATATAGCAATTGTGAAGGATGTTGCGTGCTTGCCTCAAGTTTTCGTTTGACTCTGATCCTCCATGTGTCACAGGTCTGGCGGATGCACGCTGATGATTCGGAGTGTTACAACTAACGCCTGACGTCCCCGAGAAGCTATTCCACAGCTCAAAGATGCCTTGTTTGCAGGCACTTTGATACAACCTCCACCGGTGGGGGGGCGCCTCCGCTGCCAGCCAAAAGTACCCAACAGACGTGACCATCACGGCACCAGCGAGCACCTCAGACACGGGTGGGAGGCCCCCACTGGGCCGAAGAAAGCGGCGGCGACGCCCTCGAGCGGCCGGCCCGCAGCGCCGTCAGTCAACTGTTGAGCCCAGGCTCCCTGATCCCAGCGCAGCCACTAAAGGTGGGGGACACCCACCGGAAAACA